GTCTTCTTTTCAAATAGGTTGGTAGATAGAATTACTCAAACCATGAGATGATTCTAATGGTCTTCCGATCCAATAAAAAATAAAATGGCTTGGGATAAAAAGACAAATTTCAAAGAGGAAGGGGGACTAGGAATAAGAAATCTCAGAGTTTAACTTAACACTTCTGGCCAAACAAGGATATAGACTACTCAAATATCCTGACTCCATAGTGCTAGAGTTTTAAAGGCCCATAAAAGAAGTTTTTTTAGAGGCAACTCATTTAAGAAACTGTAATATACTTGGCGTAGTATATTGAAGAGCCAACCTCTCCTTAACCAACAAAGGGGTTCAATGGGTCATGAGTAGAGAACAGTTTAAAGTATTCGGGTTTGGAAGGATAGGTGATTACTTGGGGATAGACCTAAACCAGCTTCGGGTCCTGGTTCTGCTACGGGTCCAGAATTAAGAGCTAATGATCTTCTCTATCCCGGAACATGTATTTGGAATACTCAGAAAGTTGATCAGCTAGTGGATCGAGCGAATTCAACTCTGATTCAGAAAATACAACCAAGCAAAACCAAGGTAAATGATACTTCATATATGGACCCATTCTAAGAATGGAGAATATAGTACGAAAACTGGGTATCACATTCAATATCAAATGCACACCCAAAGTATTCAAAGCAACGAAATGAAAGCTTTGTGTAAAGCAGTTTGGAAAGTAAATGCTCCTCCTAAGTTAAAACATTTCTGCTAGAGAATCATTCACTCAATGCATCATAAAAAAACTGACCTAATGTAAAACTCTCTCGGGCACGAGAGTCGAGGAGCCGCTTCAACGATAAAATCTTACCGGAGTTTACCTCTCTCCTCCATATAACTTCTGTCGTCTTGATATCACCGGCGAGACAATTCCGGGTATGAGATACCTTGGTAATTTGCGTTTCACTACGGCATTCTCCATGGATTCCGGCATAATCTATGCACTCTCTGGCCTCACTTTCCGTCGTCCGATTCACCTTCTGTCGACGAATCCTTCAGATCTGCTACCCATGTTCCTTCATCAAAAAACCTTGAACACTCCGCCGGAACCACCGGATCCTTCAGATCTGCCGAATTCACCGTCTCTAACTGGAATAATATCCGGTCCTTATATGCGGGTGCTCTCATATCTATCGGCGATGACTCTATCCTCTTCGTCGAGAGCTCATAGACTCAACCTTACATCCCTGTCTCCGGTCTCAAGCTATAGGCTTCCAGCTACGATGCTATCTGCTCCGTCGACTTCCTGCATCTCTAACTTGGCCGAGATTTGCATCACCAGAGATGGAGCCGCAACCACTCGAATCACCCAAATATGGTATGTAAAAGTGTTGGGCCTGGCCCAATTGTTTCTTATATTCCATCATTGACAGGCCCATATACTCATAAAAGGCCCATACTCTTTTACTCTCGGGCCAAAGAAGTATCGGTTTTTTGTGTTTTGCGGTTCTGTGATAAAGCGTGTTTTTCATCGGTCTATCTGTTTAAAACCAAGGCTTCTTACCGTGTTATGTTTGTTGGAGTTAATAAAACGATGAATTTGTCAAGAATGCTCTATGAGCCCTATATAATAAGAGAATATCAAATTTTTCTGGATTCTCAAATCCTGTATTTTCGGAGCGCGATATCTTTTCGTTTGTGAGAGGGTCAACGTTTTCTGGATTATCAAAGCCTATAATTTGTGAGCTCGATATATTTTCTATTGAGAAAATGTCAAAATTTTCTGGATTCTCAAATTCTGCACCTTCTTCCGTTTTGGAGAGCACTCGATTACCTTTCCTTCTCCTAGTGAGAGTAAGATTCTTCTCGGATTCAAATCTGATCAATTCCCTAACCGTCATGAGGAAACTCGGAGGTATGGGTAGTCTTCCAAAGTCACGATTCAAAGTGACTAAACCAATAGTCTCCGGTTTAGCCGTAAAGAAGATCTTGACGCATTTGAGGCCTTCTTCGAATCCGCTGTCCATCTTTCGTGATGATTTATCTGTTCTACATTTTATTGCGTTTAATTTATGTTGTGGAAATTTAGGAGGATGCTTAATTCCCTTTTTTTGTATGATCGAAGTTTTAAGTTAATGAAGAATGTGTTGAACACAAAAAAAAAAGAAAGAGAATCATTCACTCTAGTTGCCTAGTACTTAAAAATCTCTATACAAGAGGGCTTACAGTCGATCCCAAATGTATGATATGTGGAGAAGAAGATGAAACTACTAATCATCTTTTATTTTAATGCAGAGTCACCAGAGAGATTTGGGGATTGGCGCCTCTTCCAACCCCTTTAGGTGACCATCTTCTCTCAAATTCTCTCTTTCAAAATCTACTTTTCTTTTTAGAATCTGCAGGCCACAAAGACTATCAACTCCATTTGTTTCCCTTTATGCTATGGAGTATTTGAAAGATGCGCAACAAACTACGGTTTAACAATGTTCGAGAAAGCATTCCTCATGTTATCAACAGAGTCTGCATGGATAGAACTCTATGGAAAGAGGCAGCAAATCAACAAGAGAATAAACAGCGCTTGAATTCTGAATGTGACTACAGCATGAGAGCTTGCAATCCTCACTCAAATTGCTCTCTTAAATGTTTTGTAGATGCATCTTGGACATCCTCTCAGGACCGAGCGGGTGTGGCTTGGAATTTAACCAAAGAAGAAAAGCAAATCCTTCAAGGTTATGCATCACTAACAACTATCAATTCCTCACTAGAAGCAGAAGCGGAAGCTCTAAGGATGGTTGTTATGGAGATGAGAGACTAGGATACAAAGACGTTCTTTTCCAGGGAGATCTTAAAGCTTATGACCCACCCCAGCATATTTCTTAAGGCAAGATCGAATGGTGTGACAAATCTATTATCACATATATAAAAGATATAATCTCACTAGCTTGTAAGAGTAACTTTCAGATTGCTTATGTTTCTCGAAATGTCTTAGCCGTTGTAGATTCACTAGCTAAGGCTGCTAGAATAAATAGCTCTCAGTATGTAATAAAGTGGACGGCACTGTAATATGTTTTAGTTTAATGTTATGGCCGACGAAAAAAAGAAAAAGAAAAATTAGAGGTTCATGTGAATTTAGTCTAATTCATTTATCTACAAAGATTTAGCTCCAAAATAATATGTGTAATCTCTTATTGGTGACCACTAAAAGAACAGAAGGAATGATG